GGGGAAACGAAAGGGTCCGATCACTCCGGCGGGACCCCCAACAGAGCCGGGACTTGAAAGCGGGCCTGAAACTCCCTCGCTAACCAGAAATTTCTGTTCACCACGGAGACAAAATCGCCGCTGTATTTCCTGTCCTCGAACACTTCCTGACACGGGGAAGATAACAAAGGGGAAAGTTTAAAGTAATAAATATACCCGATCTGCTTCGCTCCTCTTGTGCGTTCGGGGCTGCCGGCGCTAAGGCCAGGCAGCACGCGACAGAAGAGAAACTGGGCTTTTCCAGTCCTCGGCCCGACCCACTCTCGGACATCTTCTTAACATCTTTTAGGGATTTCCCTCACCCCAGACTTTTGGGGTGTGTGTATGGGGGGGAGGGTGTTTGTGTATTTACATTAACTTCCAGAGACCTCGCTCCCCTGCTTACACTACCCATGACAGTGTGTCCATTTCCGACTGGATGAAAAAATGGGGCCAGTGATGCCGGTCAGTCCTGTGGTGACACTCTGAGTGTTACTGAACTCCGAGAAGGCTCTAGGAGAGAAAGGATGGCTGCTTTCTGCCTTTTTTTTCTTTTTTCTTTTATATATATTTTTTTTTAATTAAGCGGTAGCGGGATTTAATAAGCGAAATTGCATTATTAAACTCGGGAAGGTTTCCTGGGCGCGCAGAAGCCCACTGACAGGTTTTCTTCTGTTTTGATAGATTTAGTGCTGTTATGGTACACTTCTCCCTCACATGCAGTAGCTGAGACTCGAAGATTAAAGATCGCACACCTCTAGATGAGTCAAAGCCTGCATCCCGGAGCAGCTAATACATTTTGTGATTGATTTCTCCGCTTGTTTCCAGTTTCAGCCTTGCGCGAGACCTCTTCGTCTCTCGGCACATCGCACGGGCTCCTTGCCGCATTCCGCAAGACAGCGAGGGGAAACCCGAACCTCTGGGAACCTCAAATCCAGGCTCTTCTTGCACAGCATCTTTTTGGTCCAAAGCTCCTCAAGAGAAGTTTTAAGCCAGAGCTGACGGAAAGAACCTTTCTGCGTGCCCGAATGGCGAAACTGCGCTGAGCCACCGCCATGTCGTGGGACAAAAATAGCCCTCTCGACCGGAGCCGGAGGCGCGCTGCTTCTGTGGCCAGGTCACCTGCTCAAAGCCCCGGGAGGGTAAACGCGACAAGCCCCGGCGGGGCGGACAAGGAGCCCCTGATGCCCCGTTCCCACACGACGCTCGGCCGCCGCACCCTGGTACTGCCTCAGCCCCTAGCAAGGGCATCTCACCCATGCCCTAGCGAGCCCACTGCCTCTCATCTGAAACCAGCAATACCTCTAATAATTTCACGAAGCTGATTTTTTCCTTCTTTTTTTTTTTTTTTTTTCCCTTCCCTAGGAAGCCATCCTGGTTTTCGCCACTAAGCAAATGCAGGACAGAATTTATAGCGGTGCTTTAAGGGACGGAAAGGGTTAATCGCCGCTGTCGGTTTTTTTTTTTTTTAGTCTTTTTTTGCCCCCGTTCCCTTCCCTCGAACGCATATAATCTCATTTGAGCCCCTCAACGTGATGAAAGCTGTTGATTGCTGTGTAGAGTCACCGACTTTTAGCAGGCTCTCCCAGCCCCCATCCCAAAAATAAATAAATACGAAAAGGGAGAAAAAAATACGTATATTTTCGGAAGTGTCTCAAATATGTACAAATCCCATTTTATGTCTTCCCATTCATGTGTATATTGATATCATAAAAGATAAATCCTTCAGCAGGATTTTTCTCTCAATACCTTATTCATTGAAACTGGCAGTTCCACTCATTATTCCACTCCCTTAAACCCGATTCTGATGTCGGCTAAATATAGAGCTTCGCCTTACTGGGAACGCGAATCGAATACACAGTAAGCAAATCAGTAGCACAGGAGGGGGAAAAAACCCTTGATCAAAGCCCTCCTTTTCTTCCCAATCCTGGTTTGTTGGGGCGGAGACAGGTTTCTCGCTTATTGCACATCATTTCCAAAGATCAAGCTTAACATGCAGTCGTCTCTTCCAGAAGTAGTAGTTAAACCAAAAGTTATGGGGCGGGGGTTAATAGAATTACAGACTGAATTATTTTCAAACAAGGGTGTAACGGTGAAAAATAAGGTGTGTTATTTCAAAGCTGGGAGGAGCTGTACTTTAATCAGGTCAAATTTTCAAAAGATGTACAAACATCCAAGGGGAAAAAAAATGCATAAGATGCCGTGCGGAAAAATACCTTCCATCTTTCAGTCTTGGAAAACCCTGGGATTTTTTTTTTTCCCTCAGTCATTGAGGTGAATTTTTTTTATTTTTTTTTTTAAATTACTCGGACCTTTTTCCAGCTCGCAGCGCGTGAGGTCACCCTGGGGGGGGTTGGTATGGGAGGAAGGGGGGGCCTGAGCATGCCCATGGGGAGGGTTTGGGGGGGGTGACATTTGCAGAGGGGAAGAAACACAAAAGGTCTGACACGGGCCCACCGCGCGGGGCCGCGGTCGGTCGCCCTCGGCCAGCAGAGGTCGCCGCGGTCTCTGCGCGCCCGGAGCGGGAGAGGCCGGTCGGGCACCGCGCTGTGCCCGCGGAGCGCAGCCCCCGCCCGCAACGCAAAGCACAGCACCGCAGCCGGAGGCAGCGGGGCTGCGGGGGCACCGGCAGGCACGGGGCGCGGCGCTGACCTCCGGCCCAGCCCGACCCGACCCGGCCCGGACGACACTGCAGCCCGCCAATTTGAGTGAAATTGGCCAATTACTAGCGATTTGCCCCAAACACGTGCCAGGCTGACCGAAGCCGCCACTCTTGGCAGTCGTTCGTCATAACTGTTTTTTTTGTTTACTCGGTTAACACAGAGAATTATAACTGTTATTCTTGTACCTAATTACCTGGGTATACATAATTATACGTATGCCTAGTTTTATATATATATATGTATATATACATATATATATATATGTATGTATATACGCACACACATGTACACTCCCCCCGAACACTTATATGTATATCGTCAGTTTCTTGGGTGTGGAAGTGATCACCTATCAGAGTTGCATTTCCCACTGTTTATTTAAACGTTGAATATGTAAATTTACTGTGTGCGCGTGTTTACAACCCTGTCTTTACCTCCTGAAACTATCTTGAGATCATTTCAAGGCAGTTTAGTTATCTCCACAAGTGGCAACGCTGAATCCCACTTCTTGTTTGAAATAAACCTGGAGGGTGTGTTTGTCCCCTCAGCTTGAGAAAGGAAAATATCTTGCAAAGTTAGGAAACCGAGAAGGTCCGTTGTTTAGTAGCTGTCTCATTAGCAAATGCGAGTTTCAGAACTATTTCTTGGCTGTTTCATTTCAATCAGATTTCTCCTAGGTAAATTATTCTGCATGAATATGGCTTTGCCTCTCTTACACCCAAACTCAGGTGCCTTTTAAAAACATAGGACATTGAAAACAAATATATTTTCCTGACGCATAGTGATTGGAGGGCACTTCTACACTACGTTGTTGAGGGCGGTGTAACAGTCCATATGGAACAGAAGACAAAAATGGCATCTAAACAAACTCAAAAGGAACGTTTAAATCCCGGGGTGGAGAGGGTGGGTGTCAGAAGGGCATGGGGCGGACACGCTCGGGAACGGGTACAGTTCCGCACACGGACTAAAGGACAGGCACCGACTAGCCGAACCGGAGCCTGCCCTTTGAAAAACACACACAAAGAAATCAGTGCCCACGGGAAAGCTGCATTTTGCCTGGTTTGGGAAACTTTCATGTAACTGCCCGCTGGAGTCCGAGGTGCGCCGTGCGCCCCTGAGCAGCCGCGGTCGCGGACACCGCACCGCACCGCACCGCGCTTGGCCGCGGCTCTCGGCTAAAGGAATCCCCACATCGCCTCCAGGGAGCAGCGCTGCAGATCCTTTCTAACAGCAAGTCTGCATCTTCTCTCCACACCTTTTTTAATAAGAATTTTAAGGGATCCTCCTTGGGGAAAGGCAGAAGTTCTTGAGAGACAATTTCAGGTAAATATTTGTACCTCCTTCGATCTTGTATTCAACAGAAATACATGAAGATTTTATCCGCGGTTTTAAGAGAAAAGGAGGCTGGAGGGCAACCTCAAATCGTCCCATCTCTCGGCTGGGGCCATGCCCAGCCAGCCCACCCTGCCCTCCCTCGGGGAGCTCGGGGCAGTTCCGCCTGGCCAAACCGGAGCGCGGAAAGATAAACGTTACATAAGGAAACAATTGGGCTAATACCACAACTAAAAATAATATATGTACATATATGTGTGTGTGTGTGTGTGTATATGTATATATATGTATTTATGGAAATGGTACACACGGTATGGCAAACCCGGCGGGGGGGGGAGGGGGGGGGAAGGGATGAAGGAGCCCGAGAGGGGGCTCGGGGAAAGAGCCGAACGAAAGGTGTAACAGGAGATAAGCAGTGGAGATGGAGGAAGAAGCGAACATGAAGAAAAGTAAAAAGGAGGAAAAACACAAATAAGGAGCCGGGGAAAAGTTGCCCGGGCGAACCCGAGCCGGGCCCGCGGGCGCCGCCAGACGCCGAAACACGATAATGGGGGGGGGCGGCTGCGCCCCGCCGCCCGCCGCCAATGGGCGCGCGCGGCGTGACGTCCCCGCGCGTGACGTCGGGCCAATGGCGAGAGGGCTGAGTTGGAGCAGAGAAGTTTGAGTAAGAGATAAGGGTGAGGCGAGTGCCCGCAGCCGCCAGCGCCCAGCTCGCACCGCCGCGCCTCCGCAGCGCCACTGCACCGCACCGCCACCGCACCGCGCCCGCACAGCGCCGCTACCGCGCCGCCACCGCACCGCTGCCGCTCCGCTCCGCGTGGCCGGATCCCGCCGCGCCCCCGCGCGCGCCCCGCACCGCGCGCCCCCTGCGCTCTCCGCAGCCCTGACAGGGTCTCCCCACGTCGGTGGTGTTTTGTGCCGGTTTTTTTTTTCTTTTTTTTTTCCCCCCGGTTTCGATTTTTTTTCTTTTTATTATTACTACTACTTTTTATTTTTTTTTATTTATTTTTGTTTTTTAGCGACAGCTCTCAAACCTACTTTGGGGTCTTAAAACGAAACCGTACACCATTTCACTGTGGACATTACACCCTCTTTCAGATATGGGAGACATGGGAGACCCACCAAAAAGTAAGGCGGAATCTTTACCGTTGTTGGAATAAATGTGCTGTCTATTGTAACCGTGTCAGGCAGGCGAACTGCTAAAGTGCTGAACTTCATTTGAATGGTAGAGAAGGTGCCTTTGTTGCCATGCCTGCATGCTTGCTCTGTTTTAACGTCGTAGCGTTATATGTTAACAGCCTGGGGTCCTGCTCTCTTTTAAAGTTTGTGGAGCAGACAGGATTTTAATGGGATCTCCAACCACGGAGCCTTAAGTTCTTCTTGTGGTAAGACTGCGGTGAGGCTGACTATCCAGCACCTACTCGGTCTAGGGTAGTTAGCATTAGACTTACGAAAAAGAGCAAGTGACAACCGTAATGATGCTTGTTCTTGCTAGAAGCCTCGACTCCCCTCTTCTGAGGGAGAAGGCTGAATGGGAAGTGCACGCAGCCATGCTTCATCGTTTTCAGTCACAGCCTCTTAAAATATGAAATAATACACATAGCTGCTCTCCTCGTAAGGCAGGGCATTCAACCAAGCAAATAATAAAATAAAAATAAAACAACATGGGAGTTTGGAGTTTTGATTCCATGCAAGGCTTGTGAAATGAGGACCTTCACCCCAAAGACTCTTCACATTTGTGTTTTAACATATGTTCCGCCTCCTTTCTAAACGAGGCAAGGTTTTGATGGCACACTTCAGTTATCATCCAAAAGTGCAATACAAAAAAACCCGAAACCCAAGACCAACAAACCCATTAAAAAAAACAACCAAAACCCCACACAAAATCCCCCAAAACAAACAAAAAAAGGTAAAAACCAAACAAGAACACTCCCAGAGTACGCTTTATAAGGGAATGGCATTAAAAGTGTGTTTATCTCTGTAGGAGAGTAAACGGTTAGTCAATCATGTATTTATTTTCATTTCAGAAAAACGTCTGATTTCCCTATGTGTTGGTTGCGGCAATCAAATTCACGATCAGTATATTCTGAGGGTTTCTCCGGATTTGGAATGGCATGCGGCGTGTTTGAAGTGTGCAGAGTGTAATCAGTATTTGGACGAGACCTGTACGTGCTTTGTTAGGGATGGCAAAACCTACTGTAAAAGAGATTATATCAGGTATGCCACTTATGTTAATTCTTCGGTGAGATTTTATAGTGTTTAATTCTTTGGTGAGATTTTATTTTTATTTTTAACTTTATAAATTTGACAGACACATTAAGAGGAAAAATTGTGAGGAAGAGGGTAAAAGACAATTCGTATATTTTTAAGTGGTTTCCCATAGATAGAGCGGCAAGGAGAAAAGGTAGTCGTGAAGTTTTTTATTCCTTAAATTCAAATGCAAATTTCTGTATAAACAAAACCAGGTTCGAGACTGTGTAGGATCTTTCTGAGGACTTTGTCAAGGCAACCTCTGATTCTAACGAAATGGGAAATCATAGATAATGGATATTTTTAACCATGTAGATATTATGAGCAACATAGAAGTGATTACTTTCTAACACAACCTGAGAAAAGCATCCCTCTGTGTTTTTGCAAAGGCATAATGGCATTCATAAGAAAGGCTCTTCAATCACGTATGCCGCAAAAATAAATACACGGGTGAAAAAAAAAATCTTAAACCAGGCCTGTCTAAAACAGAAAGCAAAAGGAAAACAGAAACAAACCCCAAATTTCCTTCATATTGAAGTTTCCTTTTATGGCGATGTTAAAACCTAGACTAAAATGTTTCTTAGCTAAAATAACTGACATTTAATCTTTTTAAATATTAACCCCTTTGGTGATATCTGACTGCCTTTGCTTTCTTATCTTATCTGTACTGATGAATTAGACAGACCAGATCAAATTGCCCATCATCTGTTCGTGAACAATTGGGTATATTTAGATAATGGAACCGCTTCCTTCCTCACATTAAAATCTGGTAACTGATAAAATGTGAACGTTGCCAATCCTGACACTATAGAGAAACCAAAGCAGGAATTTCGAGTGTGTTTATTATTTGTGCTCCTGGCTCATGCTGATCCATTTCAGTGTCACCTACCGGGTTTGCCAAATCAGAAGTTTGCATGACACTGTGGTATGAAAAGTATTTTTTTCTACAGAAAGTTTTGGAAGCAAGTCTCCGAGACACCTAAAATATCGTCTGATTTCTGTGTAATTCTGAACTGAAATAAACCCCTTTACTCTTTCCTGCTCCAGTGCACAATTTATAAACAGACCATTCCTTCAAACCATTGTGAGATTATTCTCTAAGTTCTATAATGATGAAAACCAGAGCTTTTAAGCTTTATTTATTTATTTATTTATTCATTCATTCTTTACTTTTAAACGAACTTTGGAGCCATTCTTTTAAGTGTTGTCCTTTCACTGATTTCAAATGAAAGGAAAACGTTTGGACTGAATTGTGTTCACTTACCTCCTGATAAAACTCAGCGGGAGAAATTTAAGCAGAAAAAAAAATGCTGCTCTATTAAGTTAATATGGAATACATTTAATTCTCTACAATTTAAAAAGGAAGATGTATGTTACATGCAAGGTGACTTTGAATTAGACCGTGAGCCAATCTATAGTTGTCAATCCTGTGGGCAACTACGGCAACTTTTGTACATATGAATGCACATGCTTTACGATCACTCTGTTCTTTTGCTGTCTAGCTGTTTGTTTGGGGTTTTTCTTCTCAAGACTATAATTTGGATATATGTAGCTCTGAAAATAGGACTAGCACGTCTTTATAGCCGTAGCAGCTAAAGAAGTATTTAAATAACATCTGTACCCACATGCATGTTTTACAGACTGTATCTCCAAGGAAGTATACTGGTGAGGAAATGAATGGGAATAAATATTAGCTTAGTTTTAGGAGCAGTTTTCACAGTTCTCTGGATCGTGAGCATGCATATGTGCGTATATCCGTACATTTGCAGAAAGATGTTAATTTTACATCGTATTAAGAAGGCTGCTGGCTAAAGAGCACTCGTTGGGAGCCAAAAGACTGCAGTGCTAGACACCCGAATTGGAGGATTTTCTCGTGTTTATCTACTGATGGGTGAACTGCCCCGCTTTCCTCCACGGGAGACAAGGAGCCCGCCATCCACTCCAGAAACGTATTATTTGTCTTGTGGGGCTGTCAGCAAGGAGCTGCCCTCTCATTCCTGCGGGAAAGCTTGAGCCCCAGCTCAAGGTGGGAGCGTCAGGAAGAGGGAAAACAGGGCAAGGAGGCTAAGGAAAGGGACAGGCTGCAAAGCCAGAGCACCCAAACTGCCTTTTAGTTGGGGAGAGAAGTTACACTACTATATATGTGAGCCTGAGGAGACGTGTGTATGCTTATATTGTTGTATCAAATTAACCTGGTGAGAGAGGATGAGGGGAAGAGGCCGTGCGCTGGTAGTCTCCCCTGCCGTGTCCCAGAGGCTAAGCTAACGGCAGTCCAGGCACACATCAAGCGGTACAAGTCCTGAGTGGGTTCCGCGCAAAAAAATACGGCAGTTTGGTGAGGCTGGCAGGTTTGTATGTGTGGAGTGCATGGCAGCTTTGGCAGCGTCGCCTTTCCGTGGTGTGCCCGGGTAGTCCAGCTCAGTCCCAGGCCAGTTTAGGTCAGGTGAGGAGGCAGGGAGAGGACAGTAACGGCCCCACTCCCGCTTCAGCCCGGGCGCTGGGACAGCAGGGAGAGGTCGGATCTCCTCGGGAACCAAAGGAGTCATTGTTTTTTTCTTCTTACACCTTTGCCTCACCACTCTTCTCTTCCACCGTTGCTTTCGGGCCCCCTCTACCTTTTACGGCATGGGGATCAGCGCACGGACAGCAAACGAATCCGGCTTATTCCTTTCCTCTTCTGGTTTCTGTATTTTTCGTGCTTTTTAAAGAAGTGGATTGCGTGTGGCGCGTCTACGCGGGGCCAGGGGCTGCCCACGAGCGGGAGTGAAAACCTCTTTCTTTTTTCCTTTCCTTTCTCCCTCCCGCCCCTTCCCTACCCTCCCCTTCCCCCTCCCGTGCTCTCCCTCCTTCCCTTCCTTCTCTTTCTTTCTGGGCTGGGCCCTGCTCAGGTTATACGGCATCAAGTGCGCCAAATGCAGCATCGGCTTCAGCAAGAATGACTTCGTGATGCGCGCCCGCGCCAAGGTGTACCACATCGAGTGTTTCCGCTGCGTGGCCTGCAGCCGCCAGCTCATCCCAGGCATGAATTTCGCGCTGCGGGAGGACGGCCTTCTTCTGCCGGGCGGACCACGAACGGTGGTGGAGCGGCCAGCTGGCGGCGAGGGACCTCTCGAGCGCCCCTGCACCCGCCCGGCCGCTGCAGATTGGCAGGTTTACCGCCCGCGCCCAGTCGCCGCGGGAGCCCGCGGGTTTGGCGACGCCCGGCCCCGCGCTGGGCGCAGGGAGAGCTCCATTTGCTCCCACAAGGCCGCACCTCCTCGGAGAGGCGCACGCGCGGCGACGTGTCCCCACGCCCTGGCTCCGCGGGTCCTGCTTTTGCCGGCGAGAGAGCGCCGCTTTCGCGGCACGCGTGAAGGCGGGACACGCTGCGGAGGGCCGCACCCCCGCTCTTCCTGCCCCCAGCGCGCACCGCGTGCAGGAGTCCTCCGTCACCCTCCCGAGCCCTGAGCCTGAGCCTGAGTCGGAGAGGGACGGGCCCCTGCGGCGAGCAGGTCTACGGCAAAGCGCCGGCCGATCTCTCGGCCGCCTCAGGAGCGTGTGTAGGAGCCGTTCTGAACGCTGGAGGAAGTGGGGTTCTAAAAGAGATAGACTTCATAAGTACAGGCGAGCGCTTAGGCTGTAATTTAAAACTGTCAACAAGCTAATTTTCGGTAATTGTCTTTTAAAGTGACTCTGCCTTCTTGAAACGTTTCTCGTGTTTTGATGAGAATTTCATCTCAAAACTCAGCCTAGTAACTTCAGAGTCGCCCCACCTTACAACTTCATTCACACTTGTAGTTCTCGACGTGGCACGTCAGCTACTCAGAGACTCTTAGTTTTAGGAAGGGACATGTCTCTGAGGCAAACTAGGCTGGACGATACAAGGTTGGCCGGCATTATTGCTGTGCGTGTAACTGTATCTCGGAAGGTTATTTGCAAAGTTTAGCTATGCTAAAACAGGCTCGTTTCCCTCTTCTGAGCTGCTTTCGGGTAACTTATCTTTATATAGGAAGAAATAATCCTGTACCTTATCAGGGCACAATTCTAGAGAGATTGTGCTCCCTATAGCGTGTTTGTGCATGTCTCCGAAAGGCTTATTGTGTCGGCAGGTATAATACTGATAAGATTGGAAGCCTTCGTAATGTCTTCATCGCATCTGCTGATGTATTGTTATACTCAGAGAAATCGGAACCCGACTGTACAAAAGCAAGCACCTCAGAATGTTAGCTAAACAGTTTTAGGGGGGAAAAATAGCAGTGTTTTTATTTTTCCCTTGACTGGGTCAATTTACACCTACATAGCTACAGCTACACAACGCACAGAAGAACGGCAGAATTACAGGAACACTTTTAGCTCTTGATGTGATGCTACCCGTAGGTTTGCATTTCTTGGCCGTTTCCACGAGTTGCTGGGCTTGCTCTCCTTTTTAAAGACTCAGACAAACTTTTTTTAAAAAAAATTATTCTTCTTAAGTCTAAACAAATTCACCAAGCACCTCCACTTTCTAAGATAGATGCCATCCTCCGTGCTTTGGTATATAGGGCTCTCACAAGCTTTTCCTCCATGGCCTTGGTGCAGAGGATTTCGCTTGTTTTGCTTTGATTTGGAAGCATCAAACCACCGGGAGCTATTGCACGTTATGGCGGCTTCTGGCTAAACTGAGCTAGATTCACTATACAAGAAGCAGACCCGAATTATGATTAATTTAAGAAGTATTCGTTATTAATTTTTGGCCCAAAAATCTGGTTCGGTGATTTGTCAGGAGATAAACACACTCCTTTCCTAGCACGCATACACCTTAGCAAACTCACCCTCCCCTGTCAAGTCTCATACAGGTTCAAGCTTCTGTCATTAAGGGTTTTAGGGGGGTGGTTTGTTTTTGCAAATTAATTATCTGAGGAGTCAGAAATGTCAGTCACTCCACCAGCGCATAAAGCAGAGGAGTCTGCAGCAGCTCCGATAGATCTGAGTGTTTGAATGGCCTTTGAAAGAGGGTTCATCACCCCCCCCGGCCCCCTCCCCCTGTCCCACAAGCTTAGATTCATAGTCTCCGCAGACTCCCTGCTCCCTATTCATGGGGATCCTGTTCCTCCCTTCCCCTACAGCAGAACCTATCTCTGCCAGACAGCCAGCTCTGCGGCCCCACGTCCACAAGCAGCCCGAGAAGACCACCCGAGTCCGGACTGTCCTTAATGAAAAACAGCTTCACACCTTGAGGACCTGCTACGCTGCCAACCCCAGGCCTGACGCCCTCATGAAAGAGCAACTGGTAGAAATGACTGGCCTCAGCCCGAGGGTCATCAGGGTTTGGTTTCAAAACAAGCGATGCAAGGATAAAAAAAGGAGCATTATGATGAAGCAACTTCAGCAGCAGCAACCCAATGACAAAACTGTAAGTGGCTTCAGCTTCTGTCCATGTTCTACCTTAACTGCCAAGGCGAAACGCCTGGGATACGTTCTGTTCGGACAGCCTCAGGGCTCGGTTTGATGCTTTTGATTTTTTGCGAGCTCCCTTAAAACAAAGAAAACGATACCGCTTAGCTGTTACCGTTTGTTTCTGTTGTCAGCGCAATCGAAACAGACCACAGAAAGGAGCAGATACAGGCTGCTCACGCAAACCCATCTCTTTTGCGGGGCTAAAAGATACGCAGTGGTTTAGACTAACTTCTCTGCAGCATGAATTGTAACCTGCAGAGCTCATGGGATGTATATCAGCTTTGTGTAATGCTGATACTGCAAAAGCAAAGGACTCCTTAAGGGGAAAATAATGCTTTTGCCCCCTTCCCTCGTTTAAAACAGAAGTAAATCCAGCAGGGGGAAAAAAAGTTAAAAAAGAAGACGGATAAAAGGCAATTTAGATGTGTTTTTCTTAGCACATTATATACTACAGGATGTATAGGTGTGTGTTTGTCAGTGCACTTACTGTAGAAAAAGACAAATGCAATGCAAATTTTTCAGAATTACCATACTGTTTACAAGTTAATTTATAGATAGTTTTATATATTTTGAGTCCTTGCCTGTGGACATAGGCGTGTGTGATGCAAACGAGCAGAAAGTCGAACAAATTTTCTCCATTTTAAGCCAATTTTTTTCTTTCTGTTGTCGCTAGTCCACTTGAAGAAGAGTCTGTTACTCTCCCTGTGTATATATTGACTGACCTGAGAATGACTATTAATCCATAAGGCTGCCTAGTTAAGTGGAATTTAAGGAGTTTCATTTTACCCTGTTGGAATGCAATAAAACACGGTGTTATTAACTCGCCTGAACAATCTATTCGTCGAGGCTTGGAGTTATGTTGTACACTGTGCCTGCACCATAGGGCATACTGGGAGGGCTGTTTTGTTTTGTTTGTTTGTTTATTAAGAGCGCGGTAATGACGTACCCCAGTGGATGTCGTGCAGCGGATATACGATCTAGTTAAGGTCATGCAGAACAAAACCAGCCTGGATGCGACATAGGAAGGGAGCATAATTAACCGTTTCTTGTTCTGAGACGTGCATCGGCAGTCGAGATACAGAATGCTCAGGTTTAAGGAAGCTTAGGACGGAGGGAGTATGCCTTGAGACGAATAGGAGCATTAAAGGGAAAGAAAGTAAACTTCCACCGTGATAAATGCAGCGGGTAGAAACAGGCTGACCTAGAGTAGAATACAGTAAGACATTCACAGCAGATTAACAAAGCAAATACAAGAGACCGTATAGATAAGATAGAAAGCAGTTTATTGACTCAGCACTTATATACAATGAAGTTAATCAAGCTCATTAACATCTTTTGCTGGGCTGTTTACAGAATATCCAAGGGATGACAGGAACTCCTATGGTGGCTGCTAGTCCGGAGAGACATGACGGTGGTTTGCAGGCGAACCCCGTGGAGGTGCAGAGTTACCAGCCGCCCTGGAAAGTACTGAGTGACTTCGCGTTGCAGAGTGACATAGACCAACCTGCTTTTCAGCAACTAGTAAGTGTCGGTTCCCAGCCGGTATCAGGGGCAGAGCAATCGGGGATTCATTAAAAGTGTTGGATGCTCTCAGTGAGACGAGCAATCCACACTGGCTGGGTTTTCCCGAAATTACAAGGTGAACATGATAGCACCTGTAAACATGGAGAATTGAATTGATATCATAGGGGTTGATGCAAAATCTACCTTAGCGTACAGCAGAGCTCTTGTGGGGTTGACTGCGAGTTTGGATAAGGCCTGAGCCAGGTCTGAGAATAAGTCAGCTTTCACACTCCTAAAAACTGACAGCACCTCATCCAGAGAACTAAAACATTCTTAACACGTCACTTAATTGTACTTACATTTGTGAAAGCAGTTTATAAAATTTGCCCCTCCCCACTTTGGGCCAATTTTGCCTTTATGCCATAGGCTGAATTTTAAATACATGATTGCAATGTCAGCCTGGGCCCTTGTTTGGTCACACAAATATCAGTCACTTAATTAAAATTTTGAAGTCCTTTTAAGCATGTTTCTCTAGATATAACTTCATATATCTACATACACAAACAAATATACATATATATAACTTATTTAAAATGTTGTCCTTTGAACAGGAAATTGCTAGTATGTATTCAGGTGAAAAATTCAAGCACTATAATAAACTACCGTAAGCCGAAAGAAAACAGACCTTTTAGAATAAATTCTGTTCTTAACTCCCTTCCTTATGCCTACGTCACTTGGCAGCTCATATGGGACCATATCATCTACAATACTTAGGCCCAACCAGGTGAATTAAGGACAGAAGTTCAACCTTAACTCAGTTTCCTGGCCTAAATGTGTTAAAACCAGATCTTTAAAATAATAAGGTACGTTGTGTATGGTATTTCAATAATTCAAAATAGTAGTTATGAAAAATTAACATATAAACCCTTTTATGATCTGTTGCACATTTTTTTCTTACAAGAAATGATGCAAGATAAAGGTTTGTAGCTGAATCTAGCACTGTGTTCAAATCTTTTTGGTTTAGTACCATCCTCTCTTGCAGAATCACTTTTCTTTCGCCCAACAACAGTCTGCAGTTTATTTCCCTTGCTGGCACACTGTGCTGGCTCAGGGAAATATAGCATAGCAGCAGGGCTATTTGCATCCTCTTACATCTAGAGCAACCCTTGTTTTTCCTGCTTTAATCAAGCCGTCCATCAGACAGGAGGAAAAATTATCTCCTTCTCTTGCCTTACTTTCCTGTGCCTTAACAGAAAATGAGACTTTAGAAATCTTTGATGGCAGTGAGTTCAAAAACAGAGGAAAAAAAAGGCAGAAGAGAAGATGGGTAATCCAAATACACATACGCTTAAAGGCAGATCATTAGATTGACAGATTAATATTAATAGACATTCGACATAATTTGTGATACTGAAAAGAGTTAAAATAAAGAATAGTGGATGAAAGAGTTCATCCACTGTTCAAGGCACCGTCTCTAATCTGGAAAGGCCTTCCTTAATCACAGGATTGGCCAGCTAAATAGGTGCCAAAGAAATGCTTTTGGACTAGCAAAGCTCCACCCTTCAAATCATGCCTTTTCCGGATGCTGCTCCTAAACTAACGGGAGCAGCGGGGCACATTAGGATGAAATAGTGTGACCTTTTTTATCAAACTGACTCTCATTAAGAAGAGATAGCACCCGCCTCAAATCACGAATGAAAGAGGATGGCTGGTTTCAAATGCCTTCTGCTCCTGGATGCTCCTTCCAGGTTTATTTTCGTATGTGCACAAAAGGGGAAAAAGGTAACCTTTCAGTTTCCTGTCAAGAAAACACATGCACTCCTAAATAATTGACTAGAACATCCTGTTGGGATTGCCACTCTTGCAACACAGGGAAGAAGACCTCATTAATAAGTTTGTTTGTTTATTTGCTTGATTTTTCAGTCTTCTTTTTTCCTTTTTTTTTTAATCTACTTTTTCTTGGTGATTTGGCCAAAGGCCTGAAAAGGGTTCCTGTGAAGTCAATGGGGAAGGGAAGCTAAACAGAGCAACCAGCAGTGACACAGCCTCCTGTGGAGATGTATCGGGCCATTCGGCTGCATGCCTTGTGTATTTATTTTTGTGTTCTTCTTTGCCTTTACCTGCTACTTTTGGTTGATTTTTACAGTTGTAGCAAAACTTCTTTTTCTTATTTTTCTTCTTTTTTTCCTTTTCTTTTTTTTTTTTTTTTTTTTTTGGCAGGTTAATTTTTCGGAAGGAGGACCCGGTTCCAATTCTACTGGAAGTGAAGTAGCATCAATGTCCTCTCAGCTGCCAGATACACCCAACAGCATGGTAGCCAGTCCTATTGAGGCATGAGGAACACTCATTCAGATTTCTGTTGTTGTTGTTTCTGCCCTTATCCTCATCCCGTTGGAGAGAGTGGGAAAGTGAACGTGTTGTGACTCCGAAATTTAGGGGGAAAGAATATTTAACAACCCTGTAAGAAACCTAGCAAGGAACTGTTCCATGAGATGAACGGAGTCATGTTTGAAAAGACAAGGTAATATGGTAGCAACACTGTGAAGACAATCATGGGATCTCACTAGAAAAAAATACTAAAAAGAACCACAAACCCCGCGCTTTTCAATGATCAGAGGAGGATCAAAAAGACGTTTTCCAAATGTAAAGGATTTGTACTTGTGGATCTCAAAAAAAAAAAATCTTTTCATTTGACTGCACATCTTAGGGAGAAACCAAGGTAGAGGGACTTTCTATCTGGTCCCTCCCAATCCGAATGGTGCTGTTTCAATATTGGGGATAGCCTTGCCAAAAGAAGCTCCAGTAGGTTTTCCATCATCAGGAAAGAGACGATTCAGCCCTGCACTGTTGAAAGATTCCTTGCAGGAAGGTGGAGCTGCGTTGGTTTGCAATGTTGTTTTTAGTTGACTCTTTAACAAGGGGTTGTTTCCTGGGTCTCTTCTAGCATGTCTGTAGCGGGGTTTTGGTTTTGTTTGGTTGAGATCCACCCCCTATTAAGTCTTAGATGATTAAAAATAGATTTTCGATTTCCTCTTTGAAACCAATTTATAAAAACATTGCAACAAGGTATACCTCTATTTTGCCACAAAGCGTCTCGGGATTGTGTTTGAAATGTGTCTGCCCAAGAACCTTCCCCTCCCCCAAAGATGTGTATAGTCATTGGTTATAAGGACTGTTTTTCTCTCTTTCTCTTTCTCTCTCACTCTCTAAAAAAAAAAAAAAAGAAAAAAGTAAAAAAAAAATAAGGTAAAAAAAAGGAAAAGCAAAAAGAAAAAAAATCACTCTTTTTGTTTGCTCTTGCATTGCAAAATTATAAAGTAATTTATTATTTATTATCGGAAGACTTGCCACTTTTCATGTCATTTGACTATTTTTTGTTTGCTCAAGTAAAAAAAAAAAAAAAAGAAAAAAAAAAGAAGAGGTTGTACCGTGGTCTTTGAATTATATGTCTAATTCTATGTGGGTTTTGTCCTTTTTCTTTCCTTAAATATGATGTGAAATAAAAGCGCCATATGTAGAATTATTATATCTTCAGGACTATTTCACTAGATAAGCGTTTGAAATAGAGAAAATAATAATAATATTAACATTAAATAATGAACAAAGTTCCCTCTTTTAAATATTTACAGGTTAGCAGTTAAAATACCTGAAATAAAATATTGCATGCAAAGCAGGTCGTTAGTGAATAAAAGGAGTGTGATATTTTATTGCAAGTATTAACGACCAGCTTGTAAATTTCCATTTCAACAACTGTATCAGGGCTAGTTGGATGCCTTAGCTTTCAATTGATAACGTTAGAAAGTCTCTTGTTCCTCCCCACCCCATCCCTTGCCCTTGAAAATGATATTACTCTAGGCATGATCTGACATAACGTTAAAACATCTAAAGAACTGGGAGCTCAGGCTTTTTGCTGAGTTCTACTATTTTTAAAGAAATAATAAAAAGAAAGTGCTGTATACCAAAGCCTCGTTGTTGAGATTGTTGAAGTGACCTGTGCTTTAAGTATAAGCTCCTGATAAAAAGGACGCTTTTTGCTTAACAAGTCAAGTATACCATTATTTATCAGTGTCTGCTGTCAAAACAATTAAATAATGCTGCAGGAGGAATAGTTGTGGGGATATTTCTGTCGGGGATATTGCTGTGAAATTGCACGAATATGTTCCTTATTTTCTGTCGACTTTCCTCTCTTCACTCCGTCTTTTATTCCTTTTTTAATTTGTGGGGCAGAGGGTGGTGAAAGCTCGAAACGTGGGCGATTTCTTGGGGAAAAGTTGAAAGAAGAAAAAAATGGGAAAGGGTTGTTTTTGCTCTAATCCAAGTGTGCTCCCTAGTGCTCCTGGGCAGCACAAGACAAAGGTTCGCTTCAAAACACCCTTAAGGACTGGAATATACAGAGATTTTTAGTCTGACAAAGACAAGTTGGTTTGCATGTCGGTTCCTCCAAACCCCAATGTTTTCTTAACATAACCTTCTTTTTCCTCCCTCCTCACCATCTCAGCCCACCCTGAGCAAGCTCAGCTATAGACAAACCATTTCGACAGTACAGAGAACATTAAAAAATGTTTAAAATCTAATACAAGGATTTCAGTCATCCTGATTAGAAACTGGATTCATTTTGTATGCTCAAGTGTAATACATTTTTGAGTACTTGATAAATATTTAAATAAATATGAAATCTACCTTAAACTGTGTGACCAGTAACCCTTGTGTTTTCATGCAGGATCAGAGGATTGGTACGGCGCTTCGGGGGGCGGGAGGGAGAAGGGGTATCATTTCTGCCCCGTAGTCTGACGTGTAAGTTGTCGGAGTCCCTCTTAATTGGGTGAGTTTGGAGACGCAGTCTCCGACTCGGGAGGGTCTGTAACTGGCGCTGGTAACGTGTAAGGGCAGGGCAACCCTGGAGCCTTTGCATTCGCCTCTTACCGCCGGGAGGCTTAACGCGTAGGTGGGAAGAGCGGCGGCTCCACGGGGTTGCGGGGGGGCAGGGACCCCGAGAGAGAGCAACCTGCGCGCCAGGGCGCTGCTGAGAGCCGCTTCCCGGCCCCGGGGGGGACCTTAGGGCCGCTGAATGTCTGTCGTCTCCGAGGGCCGCGCACGGAGGGAAAGGCGACTTTTGGCGGTCGGTCCTGGCGGGGGGAAAGCCCCCCCAGCCCTGGGCCCCGCGGTCCCGACGCACCCTGTGGGCGGCTGGGGCAGTCGCCGAGATAAGCCGCACAGGGGCTGACGTTCTGGCTGCCAGCGCAGCGTCTTGGCCCTTGGAACACACCGGGCAGCAGGGTGTCTGTGGCGTCGGAGCGCTGTCGCGGTTCTGCAGCGGACTGCGGGCGGGAATCCCAATGGGCATGTGCCTGAACCCACATCTACCGCCAGGCTCCTGCCTGCAGCCCCGCAGGGGCCTGAGCCCCCCCACCCTGTCCAGGCGGGTCACTTTTGCGGCCGCCGCTCGGTGGTCTCCGCGTCCCTCAGGAAGCGCACCCCGGAGCCTCCAACCTCGAAACTGCGGTTAAAAAAATTCGACTTATTTTAAGATTATTTCTTTTATGGCCTTTAGTTCCCTTTTCCATGACATATAGCGCACCGCAAACCTTCGAATGTGTTCTGCCGTGGAGCAAATAAAGACAAACTGTCGAGCGGACTCTCCCAGCGCCTTCAGGAGAACACCCTTCCTGACCTTGGGCAGCAGGATTTGTGTAAGCGAGAGAAAAGCTCCTCTTCATGAAATGCATGTCCTTATGGCGCAGGTTCCTGCTCTGAGTTCTCCTTCCAATATGGACGAGGGTGGCGATTAGCAGTCCCAGGTCCGTCGGTTTTCTTCTTGCTGCAGCTAGTTTTAATAATGTCAAATAAGGCCTATTAAAGCCTGCGGTAATTTCTCTGAAGATTCTGTTCGCACACACTGAGACCAATATTCAGACTCTTCTCATTTCAATATTTGTACCAGGTTAATTAGCCCTCAGCATCCCCAGCCAACGTGGCAATGAGACGCAGAAGCCGGGTACGTGAATTCCAGAGTTGAGATCAGTTAAACATCTCAACAGTAAGTGTTTGCCTTTATATAAATATGAATGCATACATATCTTAACAAAACCACGTTGAGTCACCCAAGAATGGATGTCAGGGAAAGAATCAGGGTCCCTCCGGCAGTGTTGGCCCTCAGGCCGCCGCAGCGCAGCTCCCGGGAGGGAGCCGTGGTGCCGAGTGGGTTTCACGCGCACCCATCCTCCCTGGCCCCGTCTGCACGCCCGAAACGCCGGCAGCGTTTTACGGTGAGAGATGCCGCTGCTGGGCGCTTTGCGTGCTTCAGTGGAGCTGTAAGTAGTTAATAAAGGGGCTGGAAAGAGATCCTGTTTACTGATTGTTCCTGATTGTTGTTTTCTTGATAACAGTGCAAGCCACTGAATGACTGTTTGAGCTCAGGCGCCACAAACATAAACAGCTCCCAATGTGCCGGCCCTGGTGTAGGATCACTCCCGAGGCTTGTGAAGTGCAGGCAGAGAAGGCAGCTCCCAAGAGAGACAGGCTCCGGGGGAGGGGTGGGGGGGCGGTGAGCGGAAGAGGCTCGCCTGTATAGCCGACCTTTCCATATTGCACGGTATCTGCCCTCTAATGAGGGCCTTGCCAGGGGCAAGGCGCGTAAAATCAATAAGTGCCTTTCTCCGAGCCTTCTGCCCGTGCCGGAGTTCAGGGCAGGCTCTGAGCGCCGCTCTGCGCAGCATCCCAGCCGAAAGATGCTGCTTTTACATCACGCTGTTGTTTCGTTTGAATTTCCCTTAAATTTTCCCGCAGCGGCTAAGAGACACTAAACAAATGCTTGTTCGAGGCCAGGGAGGGAGAGTGATGGAGGCAGGGAGGGCGCGCAGCCTCGCCGCGTCAGACCCGTGCCCCGGGCCCGGTGTTCCGGGATTGGCGGCACCGGGACAATGATCCTGCAGGGCAGCCCGACCGGGCTACACCGCGGCTGCCGCTGGAGGAACCACCTGCAGCTCCCGCTCTCTTCTGGGGTGTGTAGCGCGGGGAAAGAAGGAAGGAGGGAGGTTGCAAAACAGGATGTTTGCTGGAGTGTCTCTTTGCCTTTTATTTTTTTTTTTTTTAATTTTCTCCTGGCAGACAAAAAAGGGTGAAGTGTGATTGAGGGGGAGAAAGAGAGGGCGAAAAGTTTTCCAGAAAGAAGTCACACGCATTAGAAGAGAGCTTGGTTTCTATCTCCGGGAAGACCTAGGGGAGCAATGGGAAGAGGAAAATAGAGTGTTACTGTGGCTTTTCTTTAGGAGGGCTGTTCAGGTCGGTAGATCGCCAAGGCTAATCCAAACAACCCGTTTGACTTGTGAGGTCCGGTGTCTAGACATAGCTGGTGACTCGGCGGCTCCTTATCTGGTTTTGGAATCAGCCAAAAGAGACTTTTCTTAATGTCCACAGCAGCACTAGGATCTGCCGGGGCCGGGGAGCCACCGCACCTCGCCGACAGGACAACAAATACACCCACCACCTGGAGGCTTTACAGCCCACTTTGTTGTTCCCAGGCCGCCGCGGCTGCAGCTCGGCCTCCCCCAGCCCCGGCCGACGGGCAGGGATGACCAGCCCTCTGCTCAGTCGAACGTCCACCCCGCTGTTGCCACCGCAGCTGCTCCGGTCGCTTCCCGTCCACCGAAGTGCCACCTCGGCGGCAGGATGTGGCAGTGGGCACTTGAGCCCCGCTGGGGTCAGAACTGCTGGTTTCCCCACCTCCACCAGAACCCCTCCTCTCCGTGTGTACGTGTGTGTTTCTACAGCATTTTTAGGGGTTTTTTTCCAGTTGAAGTTTTGCAGAGAATGGGGAAAAAATATCCAAACTCACTCGTGTTCACCAGTATTAAGGAATGATCGAAGCAAATCAATTAAATGAGAGGAAGTCAGTTTAGGTACAAGATATTCTTTGGGAGTAGAAAATTGCCTTCTGTATTAGTCCCTGTATGCTGGATTTGTGAATATTGCAAGCTGTAAAGCTTGTTGGTGGTGGTTAGGATCAATAAAAGCATTTAACTCAAAAGTAAGAAGCATTTGAAAGTAGAGAGGAGGAGGCAAGTTTCGTTCGTATGTCACTCATTCTGTATGTTCATTTGGGGTTTTTTGAGCTTTCGAACTGTCCTGGAGCGTTGGGTGACTGAATGGTGGGTTTTCAGATTCCTGAACCGTGCTCATCCTCTGCCTTTGCTGTTTCTCTGTTCAAATGCAAACCTCTTTGTCGCGAATCTG